GGAGTATGCCGCTCGGAGTGCTCACCGCTGTCAGCGGAATATCACTGTCAGCGGAATACCACTCTCTCACATGAGCAATTGGTCATACCCATCGACCAAGTCGAGTGCACTGCACGTTGAACATCCAACCATATTGTTTTGTACAACATCATCCTTTGGCATCTGTGCTGGAATGGTGGTAGCGTTGACCTTATTGTAAGCGAGAGCGATACCCACTTGCCGTTCGGTTTCCGAACACAAAATGTGGGTGTCGAATGGGGAGACTTGCTCTCACGCCCCATTGCTGCGTCTTGATTCGCACGGAAGATTGCGTTAATGACGTCAACTGCTTTTGAGGCAGGGACCATTGGCTTGTTATGCAGTATTTGGTCCCTGGAACCAGGTCGATCTCATGACGCACATCTCGGTCGGGAGGTAGGAACGACGGCTGGTCTTTGGGGATCACGTCGTGAAACTTTTTTACCAAATTATAATACAGATCTGAGGGATCCGCGACGATTCACTTCGGGCGCTCAGCACCCATTTGGTGTCCTGCAGGACAGCTTCATCCAGAGCGACGACGAGTTAGTTTCCTCGTTCGGTCGTATAATGACCATTTCGGCTAAGTCTCCTGCTATCAAGGCACCGCCGAACTCTTCAAAGGACATCTCTTCCAGCTCAAGATAAGCATACACCGTAGAAATAGTGTCGAGGGTGACGTCGCCGTCTTCAGCTCCGTCATACCGGTGACGAGGATGTATAGCTGTGCACGAACGTGAGCGGTGCTCAGTGGAATACGTTCCACTCCACGTGCATCACTGGGGCCTCGCCCTCGATGGCTCGGACCTCGTCCAACCATGCCACTCCTGGCATGCAGCGACTGCCCCGATACTTGAGCAGCGCTCATTGGGTAAGGTGCCATTTCACGTTCCGCCCGCGAGCCAAACTCGGATTTCTGTACGATACATCTTCGGTGTTCACCAACTCGGTTACTCCAATATCCAGCACATTGACCGTCCCGGTCCAGTACCCGCGCCAATAGAGCTTCTGCCGCCTAGCGGAGGTGGGTTCTTGACTCACCAAAGCTCCACCAGGAGACGTGCGCGTAGCGCCCAAGGTCTTCGGCCTTCAATCAATCCATGGCTCATAAAGTTCCAACCATGCCATCCCAATGATGAGGCCATAACTTGAATCAAGTCTAAGACTAAGCAGCATTACGCGCTTTCAAAGTCAAAAATCTTGACACCGAGGTCCACAGGGACTCTCGGCACCGTAATACATGTCCCCGTCGCTAAGCGAATAGTGACGATGTCACTCTCAGCGCCTCAGCATACTGTTGACTTCCTTCGATTGTGGTGCGTCGAGCTTACTTGCCCGACACCCCGGTGTCGTTCAGGATCTTCTATGGCTTCTCAAAGCCCTTCACGGTCGCTTTCACGGCCAGCAAGCCCGGCTTGCATACACATTCCGTGCTCAAGAGCACGGAGCTCTTCGGGGCTGGGCCCTGCTAACCTCTACCTCTTTGAGACTCAACAGAACTCAGTTCTTCCTCACTACTTTCCCGCGCTTTCTGGGTGTTGTAGTTTCCCCACGTCAAATCAGAAGACTGGTGAGTAGCGAATCGTCGGCTCTATGAACCCTGATGCGCCTTGCGCAGGGGTAACCAGTCCGAAGGTGACGGGCGTCCCCACAGACAAAACACCATCAGGTGTTCAAACGCTGCTCGGCTGCTCAGAGCTCTCCCTCCTCCTTTTCAGCATAGCTGAGATCTATTGGCTCAGGCCTACTTGACGAGCTCTGAGGGTGTGCACTCCAACCAAGTCGTGCCGACTTGAAGTTGAATTTGGTGTTCAATGCTACATTCAACGCTTCTTCAAAAGAAGATGGATGCACACGGGAGACTTCCATTCTGGCCACGTCAGTGGAAGACCCTCCATAAAGTCGGTCACCGCGACTGCCTCGGGAAATTTTTGGCTGCCATCCCGGCAATGAGAGCTATAAATTCTTGGACAAAGTCCACCAACTCCTTCTTGCTCTGTTGGGCGACAAGGAAATGCGATCGCGCGCGATATGCCTGGCGAGAACACTCGCAAAAGCTGACGCTTCAGCTTCTTCCAGGTAGGGAACGCCGCTTCAACTGAAGTACCGCAATGTTTGTACCCATTCACGCGCTCGGCCTCCGAGTTTGGAAATGACTAGTGCCACGCACTGCTGCTCGTTCTGAAGCATGGCGGATACCATAGCCATCTCGACCTCTACTTACCCAGAGTAGAACGTTCTCTCCATCTGTACCCTCGAAGGTCCTGACGCACACCATGAGCGTCCTGGATTGAGAAGAGTCATCCGTCGTCGACGGTGGCGTCATGTACGCAGTCGACATTGGCTGTAGCTGCTCTAACAGCCCATTTTCACAATTTGAAATCGCCTTGGGGCCCTGGGAAACAAAGTTTTCCATGCCCTCATGCGAAGCAGGGACATCAGCTTATATAGCCCGTCCTACATGCCCTGGGGCAAATCGGATCATAGAGGATCATATATAGCGACTCAGACGTTAATTGTCTACTAGTGATACCAAGTGCAGCGGGCCTGCCGTAGATCTATGCTTAGAGGAAGCCAGAACTAGTACGAGTGTAGCGGATCGCAATCCCTTACCTTCAAGAATACCAAAATCTTAACTAAGGCAAATGAACTCTTCTGTTCAAATTTAAAACTGAAGCTCGAAAAACTTACCGAGGATGTCAGTGTCAAGCGAAGTCGCCAGCAGAACCAATGCAACCGGAATAAAGGCGCCTTCAAAGTCGGAAGGCTATGAAGATGACAAAAGCTCTGTTGAGTCTTATCCACGAGTTGAAGATCTGAAATGACCAGCCCCGTTTCCATATATCGAGTCAAGTGACGACCACATGTCGGAGGACGACCATGAAGAGGGAGAGGTTTTTCCTTCTCGCGTTGCTGAAGCAAAAGACTCTCAAGCGTCAGTGACTGCACCTACACTTCAACGAGTGCGCCAACGGCGACGACGCCAGCAGCCGGTGCCACACACAGAGAATACGTTTCGCAATCACGACGTGTTTGCAAATTCCACACAAGTATTCGGACAAGGTTCTTCTTTCGTTTTGGCTTCTAGTGGAGCCAGTGGGGGCTCGCAACCTACTAACGGACTGCGTCACGGCAAGCAGCAAGGAGTTGCGAATGTGGGTCCCACGAGCTATCCGAATATGGATAGCCGAGCCATTTCACATAAAGCTGTAGCTCAACACGGTGTCGGCGCGCCGACACAATCATTGCCTCATCGAAGTGGACAACCCCGTCTCGGTCTACCACCGGCAACAAGATCCTTGGCGGTAGAACAATCGACAGCGGTGTCGTCGATGGCGTTTCCGTCGGTACTACACTTGCAGACGAGAGACGCAACGATGCAATTGGGCGAGGTCGTAGCATCCTCGGATGCAAATACGAATGCGATCGCAAAATTAGGTCATCAAATGTCGACAGAACTACTGTGGGCTGAAGCTCGCTGCATGGAGATGAACGTTCACGCGGCAATGTCTGCTCTGTGGACGGAAGCAGCTCGACTACAAGCGCAGAATCAACGTCTTCGTGACAAAGTTCATCAACTTCAGAGTACTGTGGAATAGAGTGTTTCAACGCTTAGGTTTCAATGACGCGTCTCGTCATCGACCTACAATCAACCTCGTTTGTACAATCCTTGCGATAAGAGGAATCGCTAAGGTATATCTTGAGCTAACCGTCATAAAAATCGTTGGATGGATACGGATCCAGCTTGGTATGTCCAATAAGTATGCATTTTCGGCACATTTCAAATATTAAAGGAACCAATGTATCAACAAAGGAGCTTGGAAGATCCTATAATAGCGACGGCAGCGTCAGCCATGCTCTTGGTACTGACTACCACATTATCACCTATTTTGAAACATGTGTGTTTCCTCGTCCATCCATATCAGCATATGATTTCTGTAAGTCTTGCGCTTCCACCATAGCATCACGTACGCGTTGTACAATATTTGCTCATCGATCATGAATTGTCAATACTTTGACAAATCTAACGCTTCTCAATCGTTGGTGGTTAGGAGGCAAACGCTTGCCAAGCCCCTCCCTGATCAGAATCTTGCGTGTCCCCATTAATATTAAACGGCGTAGATGCATGGACCGCATTGTTGATGGCAAACTCGACCATCGGGAACTCATCACTCCATGTCGTCGGCGACGATTCACAAAATCTGCGTATAATGGCTTCTACAACGCGATGCCGCGCGTTCAGTATGACTATCGGCCTCTATATGGTCCTTGGTGGCCATCTCTAACCGAGTGCCTTATAGACAAAAACGCCCGCTGTACAGCGCGTATCAAGATCGGGTACCATTGACTCTGGTAACCCTTGATGTCAAAAGACATGATCGATCAATAATCAAGCGCTCGGTTCCCCAGTAACACAACCAACCGTTAGTACGAGGTGTAGACCAAAACACCATCTTGCCTTGCGGCAACAGGGGGTAGCCCCCAAAAAAGCCTGACTGCCCGACCGCCAGCAATCTGCTGGTACTGGCAGACTCTACAATGGAGCCTGACTGTGTGAGGAGGGCTTCACGCGCTGACACAAGTCACACATACGAAGGTACTTGCAACCCAAGCATACATTTTAGGCCACCAAAAGTAGTGTTCAAGCGCTGCATAAGTCAATTTTCGACCGAGGTAGGCGTATCGTTACTTCATACACCAACTTGTGCTTTAAGCCCTTGTTGTCGGGTACGACAACCCGAGAGTCATCTTCTTAGTGTACTTGGTAGTATAATAACTTGTCCTTGAGGAAGTATCGATGAGTTCTACAACGATCCCGCGGGCATAATGTCCATAAGGCTGGAGTATCTGTAGATGCCAAGTACTTAAAGTAACAGCACAAGCTGGGTCGTTTGTCGTATCATGTCGAACACGCTGAAAGTGGCTTGCGAAGTCACGGATAATTCGAAATCGGAACGCTCAGATAAGGCATCCGCCAAGACATTCAATTTGCCTGGCTTATAAGCCACTGTAAAGTTGTATTTTGCAAAGAATGACAACCAACGAGCCTTCTGTTGTGACTAATGTGGCGTTTGAATCCCTGTACCCAACAATGCGTGGTCGGTATAAGCGACGAATGGCTTGAAACTCAGGAGGTGAGCTCCGAACTTTACCAAAACATATTTCATTTGCTAGCAATTCCTTGTCGTGAACGGGGTAATTCCGTTCAGCTGCCTTCAGCTGCCTCGACTGATACGAGACGACATATTTCTGTCCAATAACATCTTGCTGCAGCAATGCACATCTGATCGCAAAGTTAGAGGCACCGCACACGACACTGTACCGTAAATCGTCATTTGGTAATGCCAAAATAGGCAAGTCTGCAAGCCGTGCTTGATATCGTTGAAGGCGACAGCGCAACCATCTGTCCATGAACACTCTTAATCTACCATTAACAAGGGTGTGTCATATCGGCATAATTCCTGGTATTCTGATGGAGATCAGTGGCCAAACCCACCCACTTCCCCAGATTCTCTTAGTAAGTCGGCGTCAGCTATTCTGAGATTGCTTTAGTTTACGCAGGGTCTGCTTGATCACCATCGACGCCGACGAAACATCCCTAAACTGTTACTTCTTCGGCGCCAAAAATACATTTACCAATGTTGGCAAAGAGCTGGTGTGCTGTAATACACGCCAAAACCTGTTCCAGGTGTCCAATATGAACAAGATCGATAGGTCGGCCTGTTTCGAATTTGAATGGACCAAAATGTCGTCAAAATCCGTCGACGCAAGCGATCACAATAGACGGAATAAATGCGTATCGAGACAGTTAAACGTCGCTGGCCCATTGGAGAGTCCTTTTACACGACAAGCCACTCCGCTGGGTGTGCTCACTGCCATCCCCATCACTGCGTTCACAACTGGATTCTCGTGCTTCCAATGTGGTATGAAACTTAGGATCATTAGCTCCACCGAAGCTTCGACTGCGGGAGCGTTGGGTTTCAAGGTCGAAAGGCCTACCGAAGCGTTGTAGTTTAGCGTGCGGGCTTCCACTGTAGTTTAATCCACTGGCGTTTGGCTCCACGACATTTCGTACTATCGTAGCATGACGTGCTTGCACAGTAGCGTTGCCTACTAAATTCATAATCTCCATTATAGAAATGCTCTCTACTGGATTATATAGTGCTTCCATAATAGCGTTAGCTATTGAAGCTGTTACTTCCACAGTAGATTTAACTACTAGAGTATAGTGGGAAACAACAGACTTTACTATTGGAGCAAGTGACCCCATAGTAGTTTTTGCAACGGGAGCGAAATGAGCTTCGACAGTGGATTTAATCATCGAAGCGAGAGCTTCCACAATAAGTATATCTACCGGAGCGATGCCTTGTTCCGACACAAATGGCGTCGCGAATTGCACATTCTCGGTGACTTGTGGCTTCACAATTATGTCGCAAACTCCACAATAGTGACCTCTATCTTCGATTACGAAGCTGTTTTGCTGGTGAATAGCCACAGACGGGTCATGACGTCCGTAGGCGTGACTTTCACCCGGTGAACTACTCGTAATCTGCCTGGTTATCCACTTGATCCACGGCTCATGGTCTATACTAGTATGAGAACATACCAATCATCTATGTCGATAACTGAGAACGCCGACTTAAAGTCAAAGTCCGAGAATTTGACTCGTAGATCGGCTTCGATCATCTGTTGCGTAACAATCGCACGCGTCGCTAGACGGACATGAATGTTACCATTATACGCGCATGCTGCATCGAAAAGAAGCGGATTATACACAATACCGCTCTTCCGAGCGTAAAATGTTGACGCTTAAGTCAAAACTTCTTTCAAGCCAACGGATTCCCCTGCACATTATTACAGCAGGAAAAAGTCGCTGGTTCTACCCCAGTAGAACGCCCTGCGCCTACTAAGCCTGCGTCTTTCCCAACGACGGGGCAAATACGCCGGAAGGTGTAATAACATCGACGTTGCTGAAAAATGCCTTCTTGGCCGCTGCGTAAATTGACCTAAAGGCCACCACATCGGCTGGCACCCTGGCACCCTGCTATCGTTACCGACAAAGAGTAAAGTAAACTAGTGATACAACTTTGGATTTGGAGCCATAAGTCGTCGTCGGGCAGTCCCGTTCGAAGTGGCCCACTCCGCCGCAACCATAACAGGTTACCTATCGGCAGTTAGGCGGACAGGTCCATGAATTCAGGACCACCACTTGACGGCAGCTGTACGTTGTTGGGACCAGTTGGTAACCCACGGATCTGATCAACGAAGATTGTATCTCTACGCCTGGTCGGCTGTCGACGAAAGACTTCAAGTCTTTGGAGAGCCGATCTTGAGTCTCATCATAAAGACGGTTACCATTACGTCTTCCGGATCAAATTGTCGGCCAGTGATACTCGCAACATGCAAAATTATTGTACGATGTTGTAGATTGAGCGTTTGCCAACACGACACTTCAAAACATCGCGCGATATCTACGCGCCGCATTTGGTGGAAGAATCACCTTTGCCATCAGTTCTTGAAGGAAATTCCAAGAGATGAAAGAATTATGATGGTTAATCTCCTACGTGAAAGCTCATCCATAGGCAGCTCCTTACATGTACGACACTACAACTGCGAATTTCTGCCATTTTTCGTGAACCAGCGCTGCCGCCAACGCCATATCCAATTGGCGGAACCAAAAGTGGCGATTTCTCCCTGCTTTTCGAAGAAAGGCTATCCCACAATCATTAGCGGTTTTGGGGCGACGACACTTCGTAGAGATGGTGACATCTTCACTTGGAGAACCAAGGTCGGTGGAATCGGGAGCGATAGAGCAACACGATGCATCATGTGTTCCATGATGGTCGGCTCCGACGTAAGGGAACTTGTGAATTTGTCGAGACTTGTTCAACAAGGTAGATTTCATAATCCATGAAGAAGCAGTCACGCTTCTTGAACACATCTTGGTCGTGACGTAACAATAAGATCGTGGCCTTTTCACCAAGGATTTGATAAATCTTGCCGACGACGGCCTATCACGCGTCGGACAGATACGGATAGTTGAAGTGGTCCAACGGTGACGGTTGAGCAGGGTAGTCGTCTGGTAGCTGGAATTGGACATCTTAAATTGTCAGCGGTAAATTGATCACGAGGTGCTACCAGGTGTAACGTGATTGCAGGTTACATGCGCTCATGCGCTGCGGTCGCGTTACCTTGGGGCTTAGGCTTTTCGTGTAGCTGTCAAACGCGCCCCTTTCACCACAACCCTGTATGAATCTCGTGATCAAATAAAGCCTAAAAATATTATAGGTGGTTTTATCCTAATTCTAATCTTAACATTGAATAGGAGTAAATGTACTCAATTGTAGCCAAACTAATTAGCATCATGTGCACTAATTTGATCGGTAAATAGGTGTGTACCACACAAAACGTACAGTGGGCCAATCGCCCCATTACAAGACAGTAGGCATATGGATTGAAGATTTCTAATACAAATTCGATATCCGTGTGGCTTGCGACGGGACTTTGGTAAAAGTGTTGAAGTTAATGTTGAGCATTCAAGTATAGCTTGAGGGCTCTGACAGCATGATACGTTGTCCCGGTCTGGACCTGAGCTAAG